TGTGTGTGTGTATACAGATATATTTGTTTATATATATATATATATATATATATATATATATATATATATATATATAAATAATAAGGTGGTGGACAAATGAAAAATAAGTAATTTAAAAAAAAAAGTTGTTTTTAAATTAATTATTTTTATTTATTTCATTTTATTGTTACTTTTATATTAATTATTTTTGGTTTTATGTGCATATATGTATATGGGTACAGTTGGATATATGTATAATAAGGTGGTGGACAAGTGAAAAATGATAAAGTAATTTTTTTAAATAGTTATTTCGCCTGTGTTTCCCAGAATGCCCTGCTCTGATGCTCTGTGTCTGCTCTCTCTCAGTTGTTCTCGTATTTCTGGGTGTCGGGTCCGGCGTCAGTCAACAACACCGGAGAGCCGTTCTGCGTCCGAGCGTCTGTGCGTCTCTCCAAAGCCGTCTCTCCCGCCTTCGAGCTTCTGGAGTACGGCTCTCCAAATTATTCCACATGGACCGAGTCCCGCTGGAAGAGCATCCGAGCGCGCATCTTTCTGGTGGCCAGCAGAGAACTGGAGGTAACTCAGCCGGGGCTCGTAGAGTTCACCGAAACTAAACCACAAAAACATTTCCATTTCTTAAAATAAAATACACTTCAACTGAAATCAAATCAAATATAATAAACTTTAACTAGTCAAAGCAACATGTTTCACCTTCGTTTAGATTAATTTGATGCACTAAAACTGAAATAAAATAATAATAAAAACTATATGTGTCCCTGGAGCACAAAAGCAGTGTTAAGTCGCTGGGGGATATTTGTAGCAATAGCCAACAATACATTGTATGGGTCACAATTATACATTTCTCTTTTATGCCAAAAATCATTAGGATATTAAGTAAAGATCATGTTCCATGAAGATATTTTGTAAGTTTCCTACCGTAAATATATCAAAACTTAATTTTTGATTAGTAATATGCATTGCTAAGAACTTCATTTGAACAACTTTAAAGATGATTTTCTCAATATTTAGATTTTTTTGCACCCTCAGATTCCAGATTTTCAAATATTGTCCTCTCCTAACAAACCATACATCAATGGAAAGCTTCAGAAAATGGACCCTTATGACTGGTTTTGTGGTCCAGGGTCACAAATGGACATGTTTATAAAATAATAAAAATGACAGAAAACTCAACAAAATTACTAAAACTTTAAAAAATCAAATAAAAACAAATTCAATATATTAATAATAAATAAATATAATAGTATCTCAATGATACTAAAATGAGTCACAGTCACCTTACACTTTACAGAAATCAGATTTATTTTGATCTATAATAATTTAGTTTTACTTCTGAAAAGGTGAAGCACCCAAAACATATCAAATACATATCTGTCATATTTCACACCTTAATTAAAAGACTAAATAAATTATGCATACTGCATTTTTTTTAGCATATTTGACACTGATTATGCTAATTAAATTTTTTTTTAAATCCATAATATTCTCAATAGAGTAAATATAGTAAGTAATGTTTTGGATTACAGTAATGAGAATCTGGGGTTTGTTTGTTATGTTTAATTGTCATGTAAATAATGGCATAATACACACACATTTTAATGAACCTAAAATATGTGTAAAAAATATCTTTTCTTTCCTTTTTTTTTTTTTTCCTGCTTTAGTCTTGAGGTGAAATGCGACCTGGGTGATTTATTTTTCTCCCTCTGTGTTTGTCTGATAGATGTTAACACTGGGGGTGGGCGTGGCCGTGCTGCTGCTGTCTCTATTGGTTACGTACTTCATCAGCTCGAAGGCGGAGCTTCTGTTTAGCTCCGCCCGTGAAACGCCCGCGACGACCTACTGACCTACAGAACAAATCCAGAGTCCAGAATCTCCAGCCGCTCATTCATTCATTCATAATCCCTACAACACAGAAACACACTTCAGTTCACGACTAATTTATTCAAATCTGACCGGATTCTTGTTGGTCTGAACTGGTCTGGACTCTCCTGGAAAGTTGTTCATATTTTTTTTGTCTTTTTTTTATAATTCCAGATGTTTTTTCTGATCATGACATGGACGGGCACAAAACTAAAAGCTGATTTTAAGTGTTTAAGATGAGAATAAGTGTGTGTGTGAGTCTGAGTCTGTGTCTGTGAGTGATAGTGTGTGTGTGTGTGTCTGTGAGTGAGTGTGTGAGTGAGTGAGTGTGTGTCTGTGAGTGAGTGTGTGTCTGTGAGTGAGTGTGTGTCTGTGAGTGAGTGAGTGTGTGTGTTTGTGAGAGTGAGTGAGTGTGTGTTTGTGAGTGAGTGAGTGTGTGTCTGTGAGTGAGTGAGTGTGTGTGTTTGTGAGAGTGAGTGAGTGTGTGTTTGTGAGTGAGTGAGTGTGTGTCTGTGAGTGAGTGAGTGTGTGT